TCTTCTAAATAATTCGTTAAATAATTGAATGCAGATAATAAACGAATTCGTACCTTTTAATTTTTACGCAGTCATCTTTTTGTAGAATATCATTAACATCCGGCATTCGGCCAGAAAGACATGTTTCGTACATACGCTTCCCGATTTTTTGTTGTATGCCATTTATCGTATCTCTCAAAGATTTAGTAACCTGTAGATGAAAAATACAAAGTAATTAAAAAAAGATTAATTTAATATACAAAAAATTGAGGTGATAGTCGTTTTGAACTACCATTTCTTACCGCGTGTCCTCGAAGTGACTCGACATTGAAATTATTAGTTCTAGTTGGAAAGATAAGGAATGCAACGACAGTCACATCTGGTCTTGATGTTTTCAAGTAATGATTTAATCTGGCTAATGCTTCAATAAATATGTCGGCTCCTTTATTTCCAAATTCATATCGTCCCGCGATGAAGAAATATAGTGTTTTGTCAAGATCGAAGTCATAGTGCCTGCAATCACAAAATGGATAATAATGAAGTAATAAAAACATACCTTTTCGTACTTTGAATTCATGTTTCCGTTTACCCATAGAAATGTCCTCTGACAAACTCGTGAATTTTCTCCTTGCTTACTGCGTGCAAATTTTGAAATTCGTGCAATGCTGAAAATTTCTTAACATTCAATCCATTAGGTGTAATTATATCTGGCTTTCTCTTTAATAAATGTTCAGCCTCCAAGCCAGTAATATCTGAAACTGTTGTGAATACATGTGCTAGATGTGTTGCTGCACGTTCCATGCAATACCTATGATAGATTTGTCGTTTTCCAGCTTCCTCGTCTACCCTGAACTGAAATGTAATGTTAAAATAAAATGTGTCTGAATTAAATATAAGTACTATAATAAAACAATTTTAGACAACATCCTTACTTTATCCAAATTATTATAAAAATCAGTCTTTCCAGCACAAAGGTATCTACCAAGGAGAGTAGCATGTGTAGTGAAAACTGTTGCTACGTCAACGTGCCTCGTTCTCAAAGCAATTATAGCTACACCTGCTTGCCATTCATGACAATGAACAACTATCCTTGGTTTTGCCGAATACTCTTCGGCTGCTTTTCTGCAATAATTACAAAAATAATAATTTTCAGTAACTCATTTGAAATTATTAACAGAAAAACTAACATTTTCAGAAAGGAAATTTAAGATTCTACTTATATAAGATGTAAATATTTCTTACCTGTATTCACCAATAAAATGACACACAAGATATCCAAGAATAATTGCATCGTTAGCTTCAGCATCTAAATGTGGAATACCAAGATGACATGTATTCCACAATTCTTGCTTATATTCATCTAATTTCCATGCTGCACTGCTAATATCAAACAGGATTATTTGAGGATTCCCATCAACCAACCATGTTCCAGATACCACCTTTGTAACAAAAGATTCATTAATAATATGATCTGTATTCACCCTTAGTAAATGAAAAATTCTATTTTACAGAGAACCAGTCAAACTGGTCTTCATTAACATCATTCATTCCTACTTAAGCTGCCTATGAACTTGGCCTGTAGGAGCATGTTGCCAAATACTTTGGCCTTGAATCGAAATTCTTTAGCCTTTGGACATATGCCAAATCGTAAGCTTAAAATTCAAAATAAAGCAAACATTGTAATATCTTTCATATTTTAAACAGATCTTTCTTTATAGCGTAGCCTTAATCATACTGTAATTCCAATGAATTAAGTCATAATTTCATGAAAATATTTTCAAAATTGGCAAATTTGAATGATTTATTGTTATATAGTTTTACCTTGAAACCTTGATCTCTTAAGGCATGCACAGCTTTATACAATGGGGAATGTTCTGGGAACTCCGTTTCTTCAACTTCTGTTCTTGCACAAGCTTCTTTGTAGGGACCTAACAGGCAATACTGGTCACCCATTTCCTCAGTTGAAACATAAGCCTTTGACCTTATTACTGTATAAATACCACCAACTGAAATTCAAAATACGCTTATTTTAAATATGTTATATTATTTATTAAAAGTGTAAATACCAAAACAATTTTCTTTTTAATGAGAGAAGCCTTACATACTTATAAAATTTAATACCTTTATTAGCAGCTTCCCACGCAACTTCAAAAGTCCATCGATTTTCATGTTGAGCCGCTTGGCCTCGATCCATAAAGTCTGATAAATCATGACTACTATCTACACGATAAAATCTCCGAGATGCTCGTTCTCGCGACATTTTATCTATAAAACAAGTAACTTTTACATATAACTGTTCAATTAAGACTAACATTTTCATTACTCAAAAAATAAATACATATTAATATGTCATAGTAAAGTTCAAGAAGTATTAAAACATAAACACATTTTTAAACAAACTAGTGAAGATATGTATACTACCAAATACAATTGGTATTAATTTATACAAATAGCTTTCCATTAACTTGCTTAGACTTCAGTATTTATCTATTAATACAACTTTCATACACCCGTAAGAGTTATAATTCTACAGACACGGACATCATTTTAACATTAAATAATATAAGTTAATACAATGTAACGTTATCATTAAACTAATCACGATGTTATAAACATTCTCCTCTAAAGAAAAATAATTATTTACAGTAAAAACGATGTTTTCGTCTAGTAACCGCGAGACCCCGTTAGAAACTTATCAGTAATTACGACATTCTATATTTCGAAAGATCGCACATATTTAACCATTTATAACTCCATTAATCGTTTCCTCATTCGTGGAAAATTTATTCGCGGTGTTTGACTCGTCACATAATGTAGCATTCCGCCGCATTCATTCATTTTTTCTCAGGATTCCCAAGACACTCCTTAAATTATCACACTAATCCACACCTTCACTTATTACTTACTTCCTAAACAAAGCTTATAATAAACACAAACTGCTAAAGCCGAAATCAAACAGAAAGTCCGCGATGCAAGAGTGGTCCTTTTCCGGGTCGTATCCAGTAGAGTCACGGAACAATATTAAAAGATCAAAGAGAAGTAGATATTTTTCTTACGACTCCGAGGTTCGTGGACACACCTTACCGCTCTGCCGAGAATTTTTGGAGTTAAAAGGTTTTCGGGGTACTGCCAAACCAGGCGGGGATTTATCGTCAGGTTCAAATGAAGGTCACGGCAGATTGTGAAAGGTCAAATCTACACACGCGCAGCCACACCGGTCAGGGGTAGGGAAAACACTCACGCCAGTGTTGCCACCGCCGCGATTCAAAGGGTAGGAGAAATCATCAAATATGGGAGTAGATTCCCTGTCAGCAGAATAGAAATCAGCATTACCGCCACCATAGGGTAAATGGTTGAACTAAAATCTAATGTGGCGGATGCGGCGAGATATTTGAAATGTTCTTTTTTATTCTTAAATTTTCTATCATCAGATGGGTTTAACCGATGAATGCAAACGTAACTAGAAGTGTATTTCTATACAGGGAGAACTAGACAGTTTTCTTCATAGTGAAATATTAAAATTCATTGTCTCATAATCAGTTTTATATATATAGTACTTCAGGAATAAAACGGAGTAGAAACCATAGAAGTTGGTGTAGAGTAGTAAAATCACATTAACACTATACCGACCGACGAATTTGGAAGTAAATGGCGATCACGGGTATCGTAAAACCGATTAATAGGCTTCCGGTCGATAAAATGTTAAGGTGAAGTGAAACCCCCTTCAAATCAGTCGATTCGAATAGAACACTTTTTTTAAGGGTATTAGACCAAACTGTTCGAAACTTTGACACATCACTCCTGATCTATGAATTGTCCTGACACATTCAAAATTTGGATTTTTTTAAACAATTTTTTAACTTAACCCAGACCAGAATCAAAATGGCATCAAGCTCTCATATTTCGACCAATATACAATTATCGAAGGCTCTGATATAAGAATCGAAAGGGTCAGGACAATTTTACGACAATTTAGAACACTCTGGTAATTGATAAACTCGCATTTGAACGGGATAAAGGCAAAAAAAGTGTATGCGCTTCTATGCCAAAACGATGGGAATACGAGGTCTCGGAGTGAAAATTTAATTGACCTGGAAATCACAGATGGCGCAGGGGGTCCCTCTGTAGTCAATTTGGGCCCCAGAAAGCACAAATTCAGAGGATTTCTGGAGTTTTACTTCGATTTCTTAATATTTATTGAACAAAAACGACAGGTGGAGTATGCCATTTGGTACAATATCCAATATAATTCGACACAGCTGTCAATATAAAAACAAACGTCGGCAACGTAGGCATTTAGAAGTCTTCTTTATCGACGTCGATCAAGTTCCTCGACGTGTTTCACTTCACCTTAAGATGATATGAAAGGCGCTGAGAAATTTAATCGACGTCGATAAATTAAAATTCATCTATACCCTTTTTGATGGTAACGTCATTTTGAATACTCAAGTGGTAACATTAACTGGCGCGTCACGTTATGACATTTACATTTATGACGAAGTCTTTTACACTCTACGTTAAAAATTATACGAAATGAAGCGTTCCATATGTAATTTCGGTAAAGTAATGATGAAGAGATCGATGTAAAACTGTCGAAATCCCGCGAATTCATTATTCTAACGACTGTTTAGGACCAACGTCGCCATCTGTAACATTTAGTTGCATCTAAATTTTTTCTCTAAAAACACGTTAGCCCCGAAACAAGCCAGCATTCTCTTGTAATCGTTAGTGAAAATATTTTCCATATTTTCCCAGCTGACTCTGTAATATTCCATTTTTACGGTATTCTAAATTGTTCAAGCTAGGTCCTGAAACTCTACATTTTCGACTCTAAGTCTCCAAGAAGCGTAAAACATCGAAAACATGCATAGAACACGCCATGTTGGTTCTAGTCCACGATAAGTAAATAAATTTTGGATGAAAAATGAAATTTCATGAGTTTCAGGACCTACTTTAGGGCCTCCATATTCACTTGGTAACATTTGAAACGAATTGGTACACCAAATTCGGTGAATACTTTCCCCAACGATTTGACTTCTCAGATATATATAAGCTCTTTCATATCACCTTAAATTCGAATAATATAACTTAGAATGTTGTGGTAATTTAAAAATCCCTAGAGAATTTAAGACAACTATGAGAATTTGTATTGAGCCTCCACATTCACGTTGTAAAGTTTGAAACGACTTGGCACATCCAGTTCAGAGAAAAAGATTCATGAACGATTGACTTTTCAGATGCCACTTTCACATCCCCTTAATCAACTCGAGCCAACCATTGATGTCACGGTGTACAAAACGTCATGCCTCTCTCTTAATTATTTTAACCCTTTCGCGCTCAGCGTCGGTTATATCCAGCATCCACTAAATGCGTCATTTAAAAAATGTATCATACGCAACATATTCTATCATAGCAATCATAGCCAACAGCTATCATAGCAAACATATCTAAATTATATCTAGCAATTTTGCACGAGACCCTCTTAATGTGTGCGGTGTACACTGACGGCTAGTTAATAAGGGTTAATAACATAGTCTCAAATTTACGACCCTGACTGTAAAATCAACCGTTCAACTTCTCATTTCTCCATTGCTCTCACGCGGTGATTCTAAATTTCTAATCATTTTTAAAATCGTAGACATGTTAACGTAAATTGTACATATTGACAATAGTGAACGGACGTATAATCTGGCTCTCGGGTAAGCGGGAAGAGAAGGTAAAATCGTTTGAAGCATACTCTTTAAATACAGGAAATCTAATTAGAAAATCGAAATTCGAAAGCTCAGATCTACTAATTTCAACAAGGGAGTTTGTCTTTCCCAGACGCTTTCAATTTCTGATGATACGTAGTGTAGGAAGTCGATGGTTGACGATTATTCCGAGCGAGTTTATGTTCTCTGAAGGACGCTACTGCTGGAGATGTTTGTTTTTTAATTTTTTTCAGCTTCACAGCGCTAAATTCCGTCGTACTTCCGGCTGCGCTGAGAGGAATAAATCCGTTTTCCGCACTATTCGCAGGATTCGAGGCTCTGTCAGGAACGAACAGGGATTTGGAAGGCACTATCTCGTCGGTTTTGGAATGTTTTCTTCGTTTTTTCGGCCTCTTTATCGAGCTGTCCGAAAGATTCTCGATGACTTCGTCAGGGAGTCGTTTCAGCCCGAGATTTCGAGGACGCGATTCGCATTCACGTTTTGCAGACTCTGCTTGTAACTTTGCACTCTTCTTTTGATGGATTCTCTCCAGTTGTTCTCTTCTCTCCTTCCTTTTCGCCTCTTTGCCGGCTTTTATACTATCAACGGCGTTTTTTATGGTTCTTAACGCTTCCGCGCGTGCTTTCGAAAAATCTACAACTTCGGGAGCTTCATCGGAGTCGCTCGTTGCGGCACTTTCCTTCGATGTCAGCTTCGAAATCTTTGTGGGTTGATCTTCGGGATTTATTATATCGACACGCTCTTTCTTCTTTTTCTTGCGAGCCTTGCCAGCACTTTCCTTGTTGGTGTTTTCATCGGCCATTTTTATCGTCTCTTGTTCGCCTTGCTCTGCAGGCGATTTTTTAGACTTCTTTAATTTTTGTCTGTATCCCGAATCCACCTCGATATTCTTCGGATTTAGTTCTTCCTCCAAGGTTACTTCGAATCCTGTGGATTCAACTTTCTTCCTCTTCTTCGATGGTCTCTGAGTACTTCCTTCATCTACATTTTCTGTCTTCTTCAGTTTTTCTGCTATTTTCTTGGCGGGCTTATCATCCATGATTTCAGTGTCCTCGCTAGGAATCATCTCGGCACTCGGCCTTTTCTTTTTCTTTTGCTTTTTAATAACAATCGTCTCTATCACATTTTCTGCTTCGACGGTTGCCTCCAACTTTTCTTGAGCTTCGAGATTATGCTTGGTCTTCGATTTTCCTGGATTCTCTATTTCTTGACTTTGGTCACTTTGTTTCTTCTTCTTTTTCTCGCCTTCGGTAGGTTTATCAACGGCTTCTTGAGCTTCAAAACTAGTTTCCTCTTCGTATTTCAATTTCTTTGATGCCTTTTTGTTTACTTTACTATTTTTTAATTCGGTCGTGTTCTCGGTCGGCGTCATTTCCTCTTGTTCGACAAGAATTTTTGTATCTTTTTCATTACTCTTTTTTTTTATTTGAGTATGGATGTGTTCTTTCGGCGATTCGTCCAACGTGCTCGTTTTTGAAGTTAGATGAGCTTTTTTACTAGATTCGACAATCTCTTTTGCCTCATCCAAAATGCCTTCTGCTTGTTTTTCTTGTAAATCTGCAGAAGATAGAGTATCGTATAATCTCTGTTTCTTCGGAAATTTCGTTACAGGGGTTTTACTGTTAGCCGTTAAATTTGTTTTATTCAGCATAGACACTTTGGATGATTTTTGCCTCAAAAGATTGGTTTCGGTGACATCGGTCAAGTCTGTTGACACAGCGGGAAGACTTTTCCGTAGTGCACCGGAAACCTTCTGCTTCGTGCCTCTCGTTTCACGAAAACTCGCACTTTTCATGGAAGCCATCATATATAATTGATTAAGAATCTGATTTTTCTTTTTTATGAATTCAGGCGAAAGAGACTCCCCGTCACTTGTACTACAGTTTGACGACTCGTCTTTGTTAATACCCAAGTTTACATTACTAACAATTTTATTTTTCCAGGTCTTCCCACTTGCTTTAGGTGTACTGCTCACTCTCGGAGTCTTGGGACTCGTATCTGAACTCTGTTCATCCGAAAACCCTTGAGACTTATCAGTCTCCGATAACTTTTTTGAGACTTTACCCCTTTTCGGAGTTTTTAGAGTTTCGATATTATCAGATAGCTTCTCAGTGAACTTCAAAATTTTACTTTTGTCACCAACACTTGTTTTGATCATCTTTGGATTAACTTCACTGTCAGATTCTTCTTCCCCCTCGTCTGAAAATTGCATTGCAATTCTTGAGAATTTCTTTTTACCCTTTCCTCCATTTGCATTTTTTTCTACACTCTGATCTTCTTCTTCTTCGTCCTCTTCCTCGTCATCCACTACAAATCCTTCCAAGTCAGAACCATTATCATCCGAATCAGAGTTTTCTACTTCCGACTCTCTGCAGATGTCACCAGGTATATCTTTGCCAGAATCCTCTACGTCAGACTTCCCATCAAGATTGTACTCCCTAGCAATGTCTGAGTTAATACTGTCATTTGATGAATCGTCTTCTTCTCCATTAGACGAGTCATAAAGAAACTGAGGGATCCACTGTTCCGTACTGTCCTCTAAATTGTCATTCGAGCTCTCCGAGCTCACTTGTGCTGTGATAGAGTAATTCTGATTAACCGTGCTGCATTCTACATATTTTTGCGGCACTGTTTTTATCTGTTTGCCTGAAACAAAAAGCGACTCATCCTCTTCAACGACCAGAGACGCGCGCTTTGAAGATTTGCCACTGCCTCCACTTTCAGATCTATGTATAACAGTGTTGACGGAGCTGTTCTTCCAGAGCTCCCCTTCCTCTTCGTCTTCGTGAGTGTCCAAATGTTCTGGTTCCACTTCACCTTGGGTACTCGTCATAGAGAAATGCGCTTCCTCCTTCATCGATTCTTTTCTCTTTTTAGGCGACTTCTTATTTCTCAAAATAGGAGAGCTCGGAATCTCGTCCAAAGAATTGCTGAAATTCATCTCATTAAAGGATTCGTTATTCTTCGTAACTGCAATAAAGGAACTTCCATGTTCCTGATTAGATTTGTTTAAACTTCGTCTCGAAACTTGCTGGTTTTCTGCTGATATACGACTTTCATCGGATTTCTCAAATGATACATTAGTTTTCATTGCAACAGCCTCTTCATCATCGAAGTTAGCATTGTCTTCTTCGGGTTCCAAAATCTTCAACTTGTTACTCACCTTACAAGTGTTTAAGTTGTTTAAATCACTGTTCACGTTTATATTCTTCTCCAATGAGCTTTTGATAGATTTTATTTTTTTCTGCAACCGGCCCTTCGAAAATGTTAATGTCTCTAGGCTAGATTTGGAACTTTCATCTGCCGAAGAATGAACATCTTTTTGCGCATTGATGGTAGATTCTGATTTGCCTATAGACTTACAATGCGTAGTACTCAAAACATTACTTTCACTGTTATCAACCGATTTTCTGAAACTATCACTTTTCTTCACATTATTATCAACCACAAGACCTGGAAGTTGCTGATTACTTTGTAAGGATTTTCTAACCACACTCTCTTTATTTACTTCATTCATGTCTGATTCAACATCCATTTCTTCATTCGCCTCCTCGCCTCCTGTCTTTGTTTCATATCCTTTCTTAGCCTTCACTTCTGATGTCTTAAAACTTAAACTGTTACTAGATTTGGAGCCATTCTGGGTCATTTCTTTAGCTGTAGCTTTTTCTTTATCCTTCAGAATCAGATCGTATTCTGCTTCACTCTCGTTTTCCACAGTCGGTGAGCTTTCTGTAAACTTTCTGTTCCACTCTTTGGCAGGAATGTCGCGAAACAGACTTTCTAGGTTCATGTCTGAATCGCTGTCATCATCATCGTGCAGTTTCTGGGATCGAGTTTCGTTCTTTTCTGACTTTGACTTTTGGACAGCACTCCTATCTTGGGCTTTGGTGTTCAACTCACTAACTGAAACTTCCTTGGATTGACCACTCGTGGAATCTGCAACAATCGAAGACATCCCATGTTTAGCTTTAACTTGCAATTTATCTTCATCTTTGACTGTTTGTAAATTATCAGTCAAGAGCAACGTATACGTTGCCGACTTTTTTAAATCAGCGAAAGAACGATCTATCGAGGATATTAGAGAGTCGCCTTCGTCGGAATTATTTTCCACTGGTATGTTCATGTTGCTTGCCGTCACTTCAATGAATGAAGTCGTATCAGTGGACCATAATGTACCTTTCTCTAAACTCTCCTTGCTTGAAATAACATGATCCTTCTTGTTAATGCTATTTCTATCAATGTTTGTACGCGATTTGTTCTCAACCACCAAAGACATCCATTTTGCTGGAGAATAATTGTTTGCAGACATCAATCTGGATTTGCGTTTCTCATGTTCGTTACCTTTTTCACTTTGTAACAGTTTATCAGTGAACGGAGTGGCATTTTCCAGATTGCAACTAACTTCAAGTATTTCAGGATTCGGATCTTTACTGTCATCAGATATGATTGCGTCTTTGGAGGCTTTTGACTTGTCACGCTTAAAAATTGATGTCTCCTCACTGCTAGCTTTTCTGTGAACTTTTGTTCTGTGCAGCCTAATAACAATCTCCTTCGTTATGAGATTGTCAAATGCACGATCAGTATCATTTTGCTTTTCCACTTTATTATCCATTTCTGTAACTTCAGTGTCTTCAATGCTAATGATTGACTCATCTGCTTTTGAATCACTTACCAGACTAGTGTCACCTAAATCATTTAATGCTTCAGTGTTTGAAGAAAATGATGTCATTATCAAAGACGGCTTCTTCATTGAAACCCTCGATGGCGTTTGATCGCCTGATAACGTTTGTTTTATTTTTGCAGTCTTCTCTACGAGTATTGGACTCAATGATTTGTGATTATTTGACATGAGAGCAGTTATCGGTACTTCTTGAATAGTAGCTGTCACCACTGGTGACACGTTATAGTTTTCATTTTTTTTGTTACTACCATTTTGTAATTGCTCCTCTATGGAGCTGTTTAGTAGGCCTTCAATCTGCAATCCCAATTCTATTGATGCTTTTACAAGAGTTCGTTCACACGTTTCATCAAACGGCATCTCATTCGAATTTTCCATATTCATTTCATGACTTTCGTTTCTGGAATTCTTGGGCAGGCTTAACGATTCTGATGTTTTCAAATTGTCTATTAATCTTTCACTTGAAGTAATTACACGATCCCAAAGACGATTGCTTTGGAGGAGTACTTGATACTTCAGCTGTGATAAATATGACATTTATAAATTTAAATATATATAAAATCAAGTTATTAATATCCTATATCAACCATTTGAAACAGTTTTTCAAATTTCTTCTACTTTCAGTTATTTATTTAATTTCTACCATGTAATGCTTTGTTCTCTGCCGAGTCTTTTAATTGAAGCAATTTCCTTTGCCGCAAGAGAAATTAAGAATTTACATAACTCGTTTCAAATGATTCGGTTTTGATGTAAAATACATAATTTATTGAATTTTTCACCATGATAAACAACGAAGACAAAGAATGTACAGCTCTTACGTGTTATTCCGTTATCTCGGCTACTCTTTAATTTTGGGTAAAAGTTATGTTATAGACTGTAAGTTAACTTACGAAAATTATCAACTTCCATTATTTCTTCGCATATATCTATATCTGTATTTTTTGGATGTCGGCCCTAAGGGCCCAGTACCATAGGTTTAATTAGTTTTGTTATTTCTTTTTAATTTATTTTTCCGGCCTTGTTGGTTACTTTGGCCGTGTTTGAATTCGCTCAAATTCGCTTTAATCGTAATATATACAATATACTACACACATCCACTACATATGTATTAAATACTTGGGCTCGCATCTCTTGTGTGCATACTACGCACGCGCAAAAAAGAAATGTCGGCTAATGCGCGCTGATTTTAAATGAATTTTAATTGCTGTTAAAATCGTCCTCGTTATATCTGTGCCGGCACCATATAATTAGTTATTTCAAGCCTAGTTACTTCATGTAACATTGGAATATGCCGTACAAAATTAATAGTCACACCGTTTGCCTAATTTGTGTCATTATTTCGGAAAATACGCGTTATTCACTTTCGGCAGATATCGTTTTCTCAGTTACAATATTCGTCGAGGACAATTAAATGCTTCTGTATGTTTGTTACTGGATTGCACTGTGCTCATTTGAAAAGGCGATAAACCTAATTACGTATAAAAATAAATGGTCGTTAATATTTTCAAAATTGACAAAGTCTAGCCAGTACCAACCTTAGACCATATATATCTAAACCTCACATTGGACCGCCCTCTCCTAAATTTTCATTAACAAGAATGGCTTTAACTATTGGGTGAGTTGCCGGCTCCGTGGTACATTCGTTTACACTGCAAAGCGGTTACATATATATATATATATATGGTCTAAAATCTGATTGGGTCGAGTGCCGTCGGACACGTGGTCCATATGGTATTCGAATTTACCCCTTCCATTGCTATGCAAAGTCTAAATATTTATGGATATTATTTAAGTTGCTTCACCTCCGTGTCTATGTTACCACTTTATGCCCAGCCTCCTCTATTCTGTTGTCTATGGAATGATACTAAACTTTCCTTTTGGACGGTACGAACGGTGCGAATGCATTAGTTAATCTGGGAGTGGAACTGTGACGGAGAGACATTTCATCTTTCTCGGACAAATGCTTACCGAACTTTGTGCGACAAGGATGCAGATACATCCAACTTTATCTCTCTCTAGAACAAGATTGCCATATGTCTTAAGCGTGGCGAACGATCCAGTTTGCTATATATTTCAGTAAGATCCAATCACTGCACAGACTGCACAGGCAAGAATCAACGTGATTCGGAACTACTATTGAGGTAGAGTTATTAAATTTTGGAGAATTTAAGTTCGAATAATATAACTGAGAATGTTACAGCAACTTAAAAACATGTAACAATGTTTTACTTAAAGACATGCTTACAACTTAAAATATATAATAACACAAAAACTAGTATCGCTGTCAGAAAATTAAAATATACATGTATTGTCACTACAATGATAAGCGTTTAAATATAACTTTAATACATACATGAAGAATAGTTTTATGATATTTATTATAAGTCATTTTGTAATATTTAATATATAACTATTTATAAATGTATACATACGGATAAAGATAATCTACTAATAAGCCTTAACATGTGGATATGTATATATCTTCCACCTCATAAACGAATTACATCCATAGCAGAGATGTCTCTGTCCATAGTAAGGTTTGGCAACAACGAACATTCCGTCGCTATCATAAAAATGTAACTTGATTCATGACGTGCTGTGAACGTGGCCATTAGAGCCATCTTGGAGTTTCAGGTGCAGGGCTGCGCGCGCATCTTCAAAGTTTTAAGGTTAGCTCTAGTTAACTCTCGTCCGTGACGTACGCGTTCGTATGGTTCTGCCGTTGAATTATTTCCTACTGTATTTTCGTCACTAATTTTGTCTGCGAGAAGGAACAGCATGAATTGTCAGCTGGTAAAAAACTTGAAAAACGCTGTTTCCTTGTAAACCGATAGACATCTAAACCGGAATTTTACTTCAGGTCAGGTGGGTAACGCTCACACCATTTGTGTATTTTTCTACTTTTGCTAAAATTGGCGTAGCACACATGACTTGTACCGATTGCAAGTTACCTGATAAGAAAATAATTTGCATTCAATGAAATGCCCAATGTTCGATCAATTCAGTTATCAGTCCAGAAAAGAACTTTGTTTCTAATTTCATTTTGATCTTGTTATTGAACACGTAACGGAATACTTGTTTGTAAAGGCTTTTCTCGTGCCATTGCTATGTAACGATGTTATCTCTTCTCTTTTGTATGAAGTTACCATGTATGCGTATAAGTGAACAAGATGCATGACAGCTTTTTTGATTTCTTAGCATGCATCCTCTCTAATTAACTAATGCAAGTATGTTAGGATATTGTCTTTATGAACTTGGGTTTACAGCGTTTCCCTTCTTCGTTTTATCATTATCATTTTTTTGACTATGAATCATATTTAGATTTAAAAAATTTCTAATGATTCCAAATGACATAGCACTTAAAAATGAAATGTTCATCAGCCAATTTGGGACATTCATACATAAGAAGATTTTAGCTAAAACCTCAAAAAATAAGGGTGTCCATAATGATATCCCACAAAGGAAAGATATCTTTAATAATTGAAGTAAACTCATCATGTTTTCAATTTCATGGTTAAAGTTTGTCATAGTTTTAACATCGGCTTCGTCGATAACATCAATTTCATTAATTTGTATTGATTCTGATATGGAATCATTCTCACCTTTGTTGTGAAACTCTATTTCCGTAATGAATTCATCATCTTTGGGGTCGTTTTCTGGATGGTTATTACTCAATTTGTTTTCCTCAGTATGCCATGCCAATTTTCTTATATTTTGGTTAATTACAGATTCTCTTTTCTCCGTAACAATTTTATCTTCACTATTTTCATTGTTTTTCTTGATCCTTTCCATATTGTTCATTTTTTGTTGATTTAATGAGAGATTTTTACATCTGTACCTTGCTTGTAATTGCAAGATGCTAGAAATTATAATAGAGACAAAGTAAATTACAAATATAAGTATGAGCATGTGTAATTTAACAAATGTAGGGGAAACAAAACAATGATTGTTTAGACACTCTGACGGTATTATCATGCCTTTAGTATAGGTTTTGTTATCTGATATCGTAGATATAGTGCTTCCATTAGAATTCAATTTGGCACCTCCAGTATCTAATGGATGTATTACATGTTCAGTTTGCATTGTTTCATTATACTTTGTATCGTTGGTCTTGCATTTCTCTTTATATTTTGATGCAATGTCATTAATGTTTAATCCATTGGTAAACTTGTTAAGATTGTCTTCTTGATTTTCATGTACTCTTTGTGTCCGTTCTCGGTTATTTCCATTTGTGTTGTTAAATTTAATGGTCTGTATAGAATAAGTTGAAGGTTCCAAATGAGTTATTCTTATTGGTTCTTTTGTAACATTCTTGAGTAATTCCAATTTATTGTTCAGAAGATCCATGCTGCCTAAATTTGATATACGTTTTTCTTGGCTTAGAGAATGAGAAAGCTCGGTAACAGTTTTATTTTCTTCATCCACAACTTCCAATATATTGGTATCATTAAGTGGTATATTATCCATGTTCCAGTCATTATTTTGAGTTAAAATTTCACTGACATTCAAATACTTTGTGATATTCCATAATTCAGATGAATTATGATTAGTTTCCGATAGTTTTGAATTGGAATTATTTAATATTGAATGCATAATATTGTAAATACGGGATACCACATGATCTGTTTCTTTAGCATTAGGATGAGATATTTCCAACAAGTTTTCATCATTCATATTATTATTTAGAATTTGTATGGTGTTTTTGTATCCATATTGCTGAGTATTTTTTGCATCAGAAGATGGACAGTGATTATCGAAAGGAAAATTCATTGTAAAAATGCAAGTATCGTCAATCGGATCAGGCATTTGTTCCATTTTGTAATATTCTGCAAAATATAAAATACCTGTAATGAAGACAGGTACGAACCATTGACTTAAAATGTTTATATAACTGGTTCTCTTGTCATCGGGTTTCAGTTTATCTTGTTTCAAACCATTGAAAAAATTTGCAATTACATTTAGAATCATTTCTTTGAATAGAACTCTTTCATTTTTTAACTCTTCTCTGGAAAATAAGTTGGTTTTAGAGTGTGTGAATGTACCAGAATAAATTTGACCTTCAGTATCCTGGACTTGTATATTTGACGAAGAATCTCTTAGTTGTTTGCATTTGTCACTGATGTATTGTACATTCCAGTTGGCTTGTAATGAAAAACTTAACAATGAAACAAGTGCATTTACAAATGGCAACAGAAACATTCCATAATGCATGATTACATGACTAAAATTGCATGTAATCGTTTCGTTGAACTTGGTACTAGCACTGCTGTAGTGGTTCAAAAACTGTGCAAATGTCTGCCGATATTCATCACTTTCCATGCTTGACGATACAGAATAATTTAACATACTTGAATGTTTTTCACGAGTGCCATTGATCGTGTCCTCTTGAAGCATTCCATTAAACCAATTAAAAAGCAGTATTCCTGCTGTTAACATTGAACTTAGAATATCTGACACCGTCAGATAATATATTGACGTTTTAGCACTGCATCTGTAGCTTTGTTTCAATAAAATTATGAAAAATGTAAGACTTGAAAATAACAAGATATATCCTGCAGCACCGAGGGTTAATGAATTCATTTTGAAACCCTTAATGTTTTTGTCTTCTCTTAATATGTCAAAAAATATGACTTACAAGCCATTTTCGTCCACAAGGTAGTTTAACTTCTAGTTCGACTTCGACTACTGGGCTTGAGTTTGCCAAGCATGTGGGTATCTGAAGTATGAGGGTTTTCAATAAGTTCCCCCTAAAATAACTGTACTTTAAATCACCTGTACACCCATAGGGGTACAAATGTGACTATCTTTACAAAAATATGTGGAGAATCGAAGATACCGATGAAATAGCAAACATTTATGTTGAATGATATATGACACTAAATAATGAATTATCTTTATCTTACAGTAACCTATTAATCATCATGTCCATACGTCGTCGAACGGATCCATATATGACTCAGCGAATATGGGATGCTATAAGGATTACTGTCCATCAAAGGAGTTTGCCCAGTAATGACCGCATCGTGAGGCATTTGGCTCGAGTCTATGGTATCACCGAGGATGCTGCTCAGCATGAAGTTGATAAAGCAGTTGAAGATGGATTAATTTTTTTGAAGAAGGTGCCATCAAAAGGTGGTATTGATCAAGAGAGCTATAGACTGCCTACTGACCCAATCGAAGATGATGGCCATGATTGGTATTGCTGCAAGTGTCAAAAAGCAGGAATGGTTGAGAAGTGTCAAAAATGTCACAGAGTATTCCATTCAAATTGTCATGTTTCAATTAATCCTGAATTAATCTCTTGTCCTTTCTGTGAGGTGGGTAAAGTTAGCTAAAAAATTTAAGTAAAATTTACTAAGGATAACAGTGTTTAATTAGACCATGTTTTATTGCAGAAAATTAGCAATGATACATACCCTGATAAAGTCGAGTTAAATCATATATTAAACTTCACATGTGGACACTTAAAGGCAAAATTGCCTCCAGAAATTACAAATCGGACAATAGTATTTGATGGCACACCTATTGTAACTCCACCCGATGGCTTTTCTGGGCCAACCTGGGTCAGCGAAGGAGAAGATGCGTGGCGTCCAGGTGTATTGATAAAAAATCATATGGATCTCGCTATCATGGACTTTAAAACAACCCAAAACGAGTATAATAATTTAGCTGAATTTCAAGCGGATGCACACAACATTTTGCACAACATCATTGTCTACCATGGAGGTGCTTTACAATACTAATAATTATCATTGAATCAATTGCTGCTTAATATTCTCTTCAAATGATTACTAAATCATTTTTTTTAGAACATAGCATTGTCGGAGAAATGGGGATTACTATGTATCAGGATTGTTGTTACGATCTCCAAGAAATTCGTCGATGTGCAGATTGTTATCGAATATCTAATGAGAAAGTAGAAAAAATGTGGTTTTGTATTCCTTGCGATCCACCACATAGATTGGTCTATGCAAAGCAAAAGGGTTATCCTTACTGGCCGGCAAAAGTTATGCAAGTACACGACGATATTTACGACGTAAGATTTTTCGGAGGTCATCATATGAGAGCTAACATAGAGAAAATCTTCATTCGTCCGATAACAGTTAATCTTCAAAGCTTGCAGGTAACAAAGCAATGCATTTTTTAAAAGATACTTATGATAAATTCTTCCATTACTTTCCCTTTTAATTATTAGTCTGTGTTGTACATAGTAATAAATTACTAGAATCATTTGAAATATAGAACATTTCATTCTTTTTTTCTTTGTCAGTAAATTTCCACTGTGATCGTTCTTTCTTAATGTAGCCTTCCGAAAAAGGGAAGTGGAAAGAGATGAAGGTATGCGCAATTAAACTGACTAAAAAGTGTTTGTTCTTTGGATGTAGCTTCACAGCAGAGCTTATGAAGTTAATAAGAATTACTTTTTGATATAATTGAAAACTCAGTTTTATATCAATAATAACTTTGCTGTGAAGTTTGTATAGATAAATACATCTTTATTTTATCTTAAGTTAATTTTTTTTCATTGTAGATTAAAAGATCTGCAGCTTGGAACAAGGCATTCGAAGAGCTCAAGCACCATCAAAATTTACTAATGAAGATGGGGAAAAGTATACCTACAATCTCTGACATTGACGAGGACTCCGATGGTCCAAAACCTGCTAAGATTCGAGCCTTAGATCCGTCAGGGTCTTCGACAAGAAAATCAAATTCGGTTAAGCAAGTCATTAAAGACTTGCGAGTTAAAGTAGAACGTCTGAGCTCTGACGGGTACGTTGAGACACGATCGAACACCGAAGAGAACACGGAAAGAGACCGTTCTTCGGAAAGTAGAGTAGGAAGTGAAGAGAGACAGGTTCCGCGTTTGGCAGTGGCCGAAGACGAGCCAGCACGAGAGATTTCGAGTACTTGTCCCCAAGGTTTAAAGAAGGAAGGCTCTCAAGAAGACATGGTTACATCAAGTTGTCAAGAACCACGATCTAAGTGTGTTTTCATTCAGACCGAACAAATACAACCTGAAGTCTTACCTGCGAAGGTATTGCTATGAGCAATCTTATTCAACTAACAACGTTTATTTAATTCTGATAGGGATAGATCATACATTTATTTTAATATCAACAAGACAATTGTTAATTTTTATATTATGCGTGTTATTCTTACTCATATAGTAAATGAAATTGAATGTCATAACATGATACATTCTTAGGTAAAACGAGAACGCAGAACTTCCGATCAACCAGTAACAACGGCATTGGAAAAATTGCGTCGGGAGATGGAGCTGGACAAGTGTCGAGAGCTAGAAAGGCTGCAAGCAGAACATGCCAAAGAGATACGGCAACTAACTGATAAGCATCAACAAGTCATATCAGAAATAAAGAAAAAACAATGGGTAAGGATATTATTATTATATATCGGAAGATACCATATACTTAGCTGAGAAAAACACACTTATTACTTGCTAATTATTTACATCAATGTTGACTATTGTACTGTATAATGATACATAAAATATTGTTATGTGTAAAATTATCCATTGATATAATTGACTGAATATAAAACTTTGATATAATAGTATAATGTAACATTAGACATGTTAGTAAAGTTAATCATTTATCATTGCAGTGCTACAATTGTGAAGCTGAAGCAATATATCATTGCTGTTGGAACACAGCTTACTGCAGTACTGACTGCCAACAAGTTCATTGGCAACGTGAGCATAAAAGAGTTTGTCGACGAAAGCGTTAACATGTTCATTACATGTAAAATACTGAATTATGGCAGATGTCTGACACTCCTCTTAAAAAGTTTAATCATAAAAGTACGTTTCATGTAACACAACAGTCATGTCTCCTTCAAATTATTTTCTTTGAAAGGAAAAGAAACGATTTTCTATACATTTTCACAGATGTTTCGAAACAGCGTGTGAAAATTGTTGTTTTTATGAAAGATATCTTATTTTTTACAACATCCACCAGGACTGCATTGATTTTAAAACAAATGAAACATTTATATATGATGAAATTTTTCTCAAAGATGAATATCACTTCAAATTCCTATTCACTTTTATTTTTTTACCATACTTATAGCTATTATGACAATAAGATATGGGAATCTAAACTCTTGAAATTATAAAGCAATTAAATGTGTTAAGACATTTTGCAAAAAACAATTGTTTAACCTTATAAAAATCATAAGTATTACATTAAACCATAAAACTATTGATTTAAATTACTTTATTTTTGGTCTTTTCTGTTAGAAAAGTAACAAGCTAAAATAACAATTCTTCCTCAATTTTTTAAACACGTATCCAAGACATGCAAATACAGTTTTAATTGAAAATTGCACTACATTATATTACGACGCATCTCAATTTATTAGCACTATATTTACAGTAATTTTACAATGTATAGCCGATTCAAATTGACCATTATGTAAAACTCTAAATTCTCGCTTAAAAACTTTTGCATCCATTTAATACTTGTTGATGAATTAAATTTATTTACCTCAAAATGTCAACAGAGAATCAGCCTTGTTATAAAATGTAGTTTGTAAGTATTATGGAATATTGTAAAATAAAAATAGTTCAAAAGGTGTCATAAGATGTGCAAAAACTGCACATATTAAAGATGTAAATTATTACACACTAGGCTAGTACGTGGTTTGTGCTCATTTATCTAATTTTACCAGTCCTAAGAATAAAGGAATACGTATTTTTGAACATTTCAATTTAATGCATTGATGTTATTTTCTGTTGATGTAACATACCAGTTTCATATTTCGTAATTAAATTAAATTTCCATACAATTCTAGTGCTATTCAATTATGCTATGATGGAATCTTCTTGGCTACCTATACTTTTCGTATTTAAATAAGGGTAGCAGATGAATATGTGGTTATACATTTATATTCTATAAATTGTTGGTTAAATATTTCTATTAACGTGAATCAGCGAATATAAATTTTAAAACGAATATAATATACATTAAGTAAAGAATCTTTAGTATCTTTTATTGGGCTCATTGAGTTTCTAGGATGCATACTTACTCTAGATAGTTTACAAAATTGTACAATATTTGAGATGCTGTCAACATTTGTGTTTAGTTCTCATGTGTTTTATACAACAATGATCTTCGATAAACAAGCACATCCACATAAGAATAAATAAGTTTTACATATATTAAATAATATACCTAGTATATAGCTCACATTGTAATAAAAGTAGAAATCATTTGTACATAGTTTTAGTAGAATAATTTAATAAGTGCAAGTTCTTCTAGAAGCTTACATAAACAGTAACAATAACCTTAATCTTAGGTTTCTTGGTTAGCTCGGACTTCCATACTTGCCATTACTAAAGCCATTTGGCCTTTTTCTGAATTTTCATTTACCTTAACAAAACTAGAACTATTTAAACCTTTTACAGATAATTGTTCTATCAATTGTAATTCTGCAGGTTCTAGATTTTCACCAAGTTGCTTTAAAGCACTAAGGATCTCACCCCGTTGTCTTTGACCTATATCTTTATCTAATTTACCAAGCTTCAAATCACGGTTCACTTGAGATAAACGTTCCCGTAACAGATTAGGTTCACGTTTGCCAAACATCCTGATTACTGCAGGTGTTTTGAAAGCTGCACTAATGGCTGCTTGAGTTGCCTGTAAGTTTGTTCTCTTAGTACGTTAATAAAATGTTATTTCATGTTTTATGGTAGTTACTATGAAATACCAATTGCATTGCTCCAAGATGATCGATTAGTGTTACATCTCCAGATATCATTCGTTGAAGGCTTTCATTGAATTCTTTCAATTGTTCCATGGTCTCATTTTTCGTCTCTTCGTATTCAGCTAAATCTAATTCATTCCTAGAAAATATTGTCAATGTTACAGTATTAAAGTAAACAGATAATTATATATTCACCTGCATTCTTCAAGATCTTCTAGTTGCTCGACAAGTCTGTCCAACTGTTCCTCTAAATTTTTACGGAGCTTTTCCGTTTCAACCTTTCCCCGAGAAGCCATGCTTAAAAAGCCTCTTGCAAAATTAAGTTGATCAGTAAAACTTAAAGTAATTGTTCAAAACAATTACAAATGTCACAGTTCCATATAGATTAGGTTATTTCTTCCATCCATCCGAAAAGGCACCCGGAACAACCTCGGAGGATTTGAACATTTTAACCCTTCATTATCATATCTCTTTTTATCAGATTTCTCTGGCAAATAAAAGAAATACTGATCAAGATTAGATTTTAACTGATATAGTACATACTAGGCTCGAATTAATTCTACCGGAATCCAAATAGATACATATACTGCTTTATTTGAAATTTACGTACTAATGGGCAAAGAAATGAAGTCTCCATAGAAGCCCAGGAAGGATACAGCCGTTCGACGCTCAATAAATAGTAAGTTAGCCAACGTATGGCGGCGCTGTAATTTCTTTCCTCTCTTAATTTTGGCGTGTATTACATATTTTTGACGAGAGCGCTCACTTCTCGCAATATCATCTCACGCGTGTTTATTCACCGAATTACGTATTCGTTATATGAAAGAACGAGATCACTAGCACCTCCGGTCTAGTAACAAATAAAGGTATATACCTTGTAAATCGAAAATTGCGAGATGTAGCGGGTTATAGGCGGGAAGATGGAAAGCCGTTAAAAATAAAGAAAAGGACTCGAGTCTAACCATATTTTTTAAATATGTATTACATTCATATTTACATATACTATAATTAGAAGTTCAATAATATAATTTTCTTATCATGTCATGTAAGCATGAATTATTTAAAGGTTTTCAATGTTTAATAATAAATATAACCTCGCAATAACAAAAACTAACCTGTACATACTAGTAAATTCTCTTTCTTCTAACGAAAATGGGTGTGAGGCATCACGGTAATTCCCTTCTTCTTATAATAAAGTTATTATAACGTCCCCGAATACGATTGTTGCCAAAAATCAAAACACCCAGGAGGATTTCTATTTTGAATTTCGGTGTACCAATCCGCGGAAGATGGCGCTCACGGCGCTTATTTTTCTATATTTTCTTATATGCTTCACCATTTCGCTTAAAAATTTGTGCCGAGCCAGTTCATATGAATGTCTCGCATTTTCATCAACAAAAACGTTTCGTAATACCGTGAGCTACTAATTTCTCACATCTTTGTTCAATTCGCTTTACGTATAAACTCCCTTATGGTGATATAAAGCGAATTGCATTCTTTCTTTATCTTACACACAATACTCGCCTCTCTATACGCGTCTCTCTTCCTCCCGTATGTGAAATATCATTGGCTAACACATGCGATCTCTCTTTTACCCCCACTTCTGGTTTGTTAGCAACTTTTAGTCATCAAGCGCTAACGTAGGATACGGGCTTCTATGGGACTTCTGAATTCTTTGTAATGGGTAAGAAAAATAAATCCAATGGATCACTCGGTAGAGCGTTAATTAAGGATCGATTTGGCTCTGTAAAGTCTAGAAGAAATACTGGTGATTGTGCGGTAAGTAATTGAAATTGCGATAAGAAATATTCACGATAATCTCAAAATAAATAAAAAATACCCTTGCTAGTAGTTTTATGGAAGAATCAAATTTAAATTATATACGACATTTAAAACTTATTAGATTTTTAGTAAAGTTACGCCAAATTAGTTGTGTTAATTAGAAAGTGTCATTTAAAGTAATTCAGTGGTTATTTATTCTCAGATTCATACCACTGAGATTAATGATGGATACGATTGGGGTCGTCTTAACCTACGATCGGTCACCGAGGAGAACTCATTTGAAGAGTTCCTATCCACTGCACAGCTTGCTGGAACTGAATTTCATGCTGAGAAGCTGAATATTAAATTTGTTAATCCAAATACCTACATTGGACTTACGCCTGAGGAAAAAGCTAATATTTTACAATTGCATGAAAATAATCAATCCTTGCTTAAAATTCCACGAAGGCCACAATGGAATAAATCAATGAGTGCTCAGGAATTGCAAGCTAAAGAGAGCACAGAATTTTTGCAATGGAAGAGGCAGCTAGCTTTGGCTCAGGAAACTGAAGGGCTTGTATTGACACCATATGAAAAGAATTTAGAATTCTGGAGGCAATTATGGAGAGTGATTGAACGTAGTGATGTCATTGTACAAATTGTAGATGCTCGTAATCCTTTACTCTTTCGATGCAAAGATTTAGAACAGTACGTTAAAGAAGTTGATCCCAGAAAAACTAACATGGTTCTCTTAAATAAAGCAGATCTGTTAACCAATGAACAACGGCAAGCCTGGGCTGAATACTTCACAGAAATGAACGTTAAAGTTGCTTTTTTCTCTGCAATGCTGGCAGCAGAAAAACCAGATGAGAAAAGTGATATTTTTGAGAATGATAATGATAATGATACAACTGACTCCTGTGAAACAAGTGAAGAAACACCATATTATTCTGAATGTGATTCTAATTCAGAATATGAAAGTGCAGATGACACAGTAATTGACACAAATGTTGATCTTATGGAAAAAGGAAAGATTTCTGATGCAGAAGAATGCCTATCCCCTCAATGGAAAGAAAACTGCATCTCATCAAAGGAGCATGAGTTAGATAAATTCGGTGGTACCAAAATTTCAGATGAGATGTATGATGAAAGTACAGGTTCAGATCCTGGTTCAAATTCATCCAAATTATTATCACGAGACGAGTTACTAGACATCTTTAGAAAGATGCATAAAAATAAAAGTGATAATGAAGCAACCACTACAATTGGTTTGGTAGGTTATCCAAATGTTGGCAAGAGTTCAACGATTAATGCTTTGATAATGGATAAGAAGGTATCAGTATCTGCTACTCCTGGCAAAACAAAACATTTTCAAACTTTATACGTCACCAAGGATCTACTTCTCTGTGACTGTCCTGGATTAGTGATGCCAACCTTTGTTTGCACAAAGGCAGAAATGGTTCTAAATGGCATATTGCCCATAGATCAATTACAAGACCATGTACCAGCAATTTCATTGCTGTGCTCACAGATTCCACGACATGTTCTGGAAGATCGATATGGAATTATGATTCCAGAGCCAATGGAAGGAGAAGATTCAAACAGACCTCCTACCTCAGAAGAATTGTTAAATGCATATGGACGTACGTTATCTCCAGTATGGTACAATAATCTGAAAAATTTTCTTAAAACGAATACATTCTACTTGAATTCTAGTTAGCCGAGGGTTCATGACTCAAAACGGACAACCAGACAATCCACGTTCGGCACGCTATGTGTTGAAAGACTATGTAACGGGTAGACTTCTCTATTGCACGGCACCTCCAAATAGAGAACAGTCAGAATTCCACAAGTTTCCACCTAAACGAAAAATTTCCCTCCAAAACAAAGAACAAACAGACAATGCTAGTCGGTCAACTGGAAGAAGGAAAACGGTAACCAACACCATCGATGAGATCTTCTTCCGTAAATGTTCAACAGGTGTTCACGCCAAAGGAATACTCGGGAAAGCTGGTGGTTTACCAGAAGGTTTGGCTGTGAAGTAAGAAACGTTAAAACATACTTTTATTATGAATAGTTGAAGAAATTATAAAATAATGCTTACACGAAATTGTCGTTAATCTGCAACTTGGCACCGGTCTAACAAATCATCAGATATATCAATGTGTTATATCATTATATCAAATTCCATTTGTTATAACAACTCGATAAATTCTTTTTATAGTCATACTGAATTGGCGGCAGTATCCACGCAGAGCGCATTAGAAGGCAAACCCTGGAAGAAGATTAACAGGCATGCTAATAAGAAGAAACGTGAAAAAACGAGACGACTGTATGCTCATCTGGATCAACACTGACGTTTGACCCTTTCTGTAATTTATTTGCATTTCCTCAGTGCGAATCTTGTGAGGGTAATTCCATTGATCATATTATATTTTCTTTTATGAATTCTTAGCATTTGCAATTATTCACATTCTTGTACAGTCTGCTGACTTTCGAGATTACCAAGGGCCAATATAAATAGTATACTTTCTTCATTTACCATGATATCGTTTGTTATATAATATATGCACCTGAATTACAAAAAACATTTTCTAGATCCTGTAGTCCTTTTCTCGAATTCATTCTTCGTCGTATCAATAACATGTTAAATCAATAGCAGGTTACTTGATGTGTTCTTTAAGATGTTGTCAACGCTTATAAAATAGACATCGGATGATATTTGCTGAACCAAGCTATTCTTTGAATATATATATATATATATTATTTAGTTCTGAATACTCCTTGTTTCCATATGGGGAAATAGATAAATTCATATAGGCACATATCAAGCTTTCAATAGAATAGGACAGTATGTAATATTGTCCTAACAAATTTGGACTCAAACTCATGAAGAAGTTCATCTATGTCGTTGTCCAGATCTTCACTATTCGCCAACTGAAAAATGCAAATTTTCATTACAAATTATGGGTGAAATAAGACTGCCATAAATGTACAATACAAATTTAAGTAAATGTTTCAAAAAGTTTAACTGATGCTGGGTGTACTTCAACCGAGCAGATTTCAGTACCACTGTCACTAATTCGCAGATGAGAAATGAGCCAACTGTTGCTTCCTCGTGGTTGTCTTGAATGTCAATATTAATTAAATGAGCTGGTTGATTATCTTCCGGAGTTCTCGATTCCATACATTCAATGACTTGATCATAAACACGCTCCTCGCAAGTGATGAGAATATCAAACTTCTCTTTTGCAAGTTGAAAGCGTTCAGGCCTTGGCTTTATCCGACGATTCCGATCCAGCATATGAAGCAATCCATTTTGTGTATAACTGATACGTCAATTAAGGATAGATGTAAAAACATATTTAAAATTTTACAAAGAAAACCAACAACTGTTGACAAAGTCTACTAAACATTATATTAGGATACTATTGTTTATCCTTTGTTAATAAATCGGTATAGATTTCATCATAAGATGTTCCAAAGTCATATATGTTTGGTCGATCTGGAGCATTTCCTGGTAGCTTTACTTTGTCACCGGTTCCATAGGATTTAACGTTAAAGCCCTTTTTGCTGAAACATTTTAACAATTCATTTTATAAATGAATCTCATATCTTTCAGCTATGTAACAAATATTTATCTTGTACAAGATTACCTTAAAAAAGCATGTGCTTCCATGCTCCTGTTCATGTTGCTCGAACATATAACAGCAACGCTTATAGAATTCGGTGCAGGCATATTTGCTTTCAAAGGAATTATGTCTATCAGGACAGAAAAAAGCCTCATTTAAAAATCGTGTTTTTCTAGCTTTTTTTAAATAAGAATTATTTTAATTCATTATACAAAATGACAAATAGCAGTTTGCTAAAAAATCTCAATCGTTGAGTTGTTATACCTATGTTTGAGGAAATGTAGAAACTATTTGAACTATTTAAACATTCTATTACCCTATTTCCTATCTCCTTTTCGATACTTTTTCTAAGTAGAAACGGCATATACTAGTGAAACCGTGATTTGCAGTGAATTGTAAATGTCATAGGATGTCACGGACCATTTTTTCTTATTAAGCCTGTAATTATCACCGTCTTACGTATGTCAACGCGCTGTTACAAGTATCTTGAAAATCCTTACAAAATTGACGGCATTGGCATTCGTTAGTCACCCTGTTAACAGTTTGTTCACTTTTTCCGGAGCCGTGAAAACCGTGAAAACTAAAAAATCACGAGCCGCCAAGATCTCGTTTATAACATACATATAACGTTTACCAGGGTTGGGTAATTTCGCGTTTTTCGAGGTTTTTGACATCCATTACATAAACCAGATAGTTAACCGTAGAAAATCGTACAAAACCAATAAATTACGTTTCCAACGTGGGGGATGCCGCAGGGGCGCTATTCGCTAGGTTATAAACATCTTTTAGTACACACGTAACACGTAAACATTTTTAAGGAATTGGCGCTTGTTTAAAATTCTTCCGATTTAACACTTCGGCCCAGTTCTACAACTCGAGTTAACCGAAGTTTAACTTGTTTATATTCAGTTTAAACCCGTTGGAAACACGTTAGACTCGAGTTAACCGAAGTTTAATTGATTTACAGCAGGTTGAAACCGAATGTAAACTAGTTAAACTCTGATTAACTCGAATTGTGGACTTAGGCCTTATTCAGTTTCCACCGTCGGTATATATTCAATACCGAATCGGATAAATCCAATTTTGTGTACATTTCCACCACCTGATTTTGCTTAATACCGAACTAACTAGGCGGTGGAGACGTATCCAAAGACGGATTAAATAAATCCGCTCTGTCTCAACTAGGGCATGCAACGTCAAAAAAACGTTTGAAATTCTGAACTTTGGTCATCCTATAACAGCGCATGGGAAGAAAGTCGTCGATTGGCAACGAAAGGAAAGGAGAGGAACGATAATCGCGTGAATTTGAAAATAGGCCAATCTTGAAAATTGGCAAGACAGTTGGTAAACCTGCGCGCGTCGCGAGCTCTTGCAGAGGCCAGCCCACTGATGTCTACTGCTGCTCGCCATCGCTGTATGAGGCTGTGTGTCCCGTACAACGTGGTCCTATGAGTTTTGCCCCTTGCACGCGTGAGTTGCAGTCAGTGCGCCTGTCTCATCTAAACCTCCAGACTTATCACTCTTCGTGCACAGTCGAGTAATTTACTAACATTTATTGGAAAAACTAAATCAGCGGTGCAGTTATTGATAGAATTCAGCGTGACTTATTGCGGTTCGTTCGGAACAGTCGTCTTGAATTCCCCGTAACCGGTTAAGTGCGATTCAGCTAGAGTTAGAAAGGGAAATACAAGTAGAGACTCGCGTTGGCAAGTCAGTACCTAAGTCGGTGCCTGAATCGAAAGGCGTGCAGTGCTGCTGCTGGCGCGCAACGTAGCACGCTGTCGCGCTCCATCGAGCACATTCCGCTGTTCTTTCCCTGCCCTGAATTCAGACTTCTCGAATAGTCGTTTTGACGGGTCTGGAAATTCTGCCCTCGTACACGTGCTCGTCGTGTTCTCGCATCTTATGTAACGCACGGCGAATGTGCGAGATATAGCTCAATCGTTCGTGTACAATCTTAACGAGAATGCCGTCCGACGCGAAGAAGAAGCAGCAACTGAAAAAGAAAGAGGCCGCGAAAGCAAGGCAGACCGGAAAGAAACCTACTCAGAATAAACCTGGGGAGGATGAAAAGGAACGTATTGCGCTGGAGGAAGTCGAGAATGGAACCAATGGGACTACGGCCCTTAGCGCAGAAGGTAATGGGTTAACTCTTTTTTTCGCAAACATATGGAAAGTTTTTAAGTCTTGTACTGGATGAGAAAACATTTTTTTTTTGCAGAGGCTCTGTGTCTGAAATTGGAAGCCGATGCCAGACTGAATGCGGAAGCTCGATCGTGTACGGGATCATTGGCATCGCATCCTCGTAGTCGAGATATTAAGATATCAAACTTTTCTATTACTTTCCATGGTTGTGAACTACTGCAGGATACTATGCTCGAGTTGAATTGCGGAAGACGCTATGGTTTACTTGGACCTAATGGAAGTGGAAAGTCTACTTTACTCTCGGTAGTTGGCAATCGGGAAGTTCCCATTCCTGATCAGATTGATATTTTTCATTTAACGAGGGAGATGCCTGCTAGTAATAAAACTGCCCTGGAGTGCGTTATGGAGGTTGATGAAGAACGAGTACGTCTGGAGAAACTAGCCGAGGAACTAGTGGCTTGCGAGGAAGAAGATGCACAGGTAATCATTGCGGAAGCTTTTTATTTTATGATATGTCGAGATATTTTATACTGCTGTAATGTCAATTAGGAACAATTAATGGATGTGTATGAAAGATTGGATGACATGTCTGCTGACACTGCTGAAGCTCGTGCCGCGCACATTTTGTTTGGTCTTGGATTCACTCCTAAGATGCAAAGGACACCTACCAAAGATTTTTCAGGAGGATGGCGTATGCGGATAGCATTAGCTAGGTATGTTTTCATATTTGACCTTGGAAAAATGTTTTTTCAATTTTTGAAGTACATTATGTACAATTTTTTAATACATTGACTGCCACTCTGGTCAATGTGTTAAACAGTACACATTAATGATAAACAATATTTTAATTTTTTTTAGAGCATTGTATGTCAAACCTCATTTGCTTTTGCTGGATGAACCTACTAACCATCTTGATTTGGATGCCTGTGTGTGGCTTGAGGAAGAATTGAAAACGTATAAACGAATTTTGGTCATAATATCGCACTCCCAGGACTTTCTTAATGGTATATGCACCAATATCATTCACGTCAATAAGAAGCAATTAAAGTATTACACTGGAAATTACGAAGCTTTCGGCAAAACTAGGTAAATGTCTACACATTGTTGTTTAAGTATTGATAGACAATTTTGCATAATAAGTCATTATTTCAATTTAGAATGGAACTGCTTGAGAATCAAGCAAAGCAATATAATTGGGAGCAAGACCAAATAGCTCATATGAAAAACTATATTGCACGATTTGGTCACGGTTCCGCCAAACTGGCCCGTCAAGCTCAATCTAAGGAAAAAACCCTTGCCAAAATGGTAGCTCAAGGGCTTACCGAAAAGGTTACAAGCGATAAAATTCTCAATTTTTATTTCCCATCTTGTGGAACTATTCCGCCACCAGTGATCATGGTGCAAAACGTAAGTTTCCGTTATAACGACGATTCGCCATGGATTTACAAGAATCTAGAGTTTGGTATCGACCTTGACACAAGGCTTGCTTTGGTTGGTCCTAACGGTGCTGGAAAGAGTACTCTTTTGAAACTGCTCTATGGTGAAGTAAGTGTGAATAAAAAGTATGGACGCTTATTAACACCTGATACCATTTTTCTAATAAATTATTGTTTCAGTTGGTACCAACCAGCGGTATGATTCGCAAAAACAGTCATCTTCGTATCGCAAGGTATCACCAGCACTTGCATGAACTTCTAGATCTTGATGTGTCACCACTTGACTACATGATGAAAGCCTTCCCTGAAGTGAAAGAACGAGAAGAAATGCGCAAGATTATTGGTCGTTATGGATTGACGGGTCGTCAACAGGTACTCACTCATCGATATAGAATTTATTGAATTATATTCGTTAGCGTTATTAAAAAATCTGCATCAATGTTGCACCGGTACCACTTGAACACAATGCTTATGCAGTGTACTTTTATTTACAGGTTTGTCCAATTCGTCAATTGTCTGACGGTCAAAGATGTCGCGTGGTGTTTGCGTGGCTCGCGTGGCAAGTTCCGCATCTGCTTTTACTTGACGAGCCTACCAATCATCTCGACATGGAAACCATCGATGCCCTTGCCGATGCCATCAACGATTTCGACGGAGGCATGGTGCTCGTGTCTCACGATTTCAGGCTCATCAATCAGGTCGGATATACATAATTTTATTCGATGCGGCGATTTAATGTTACTAAGAATCTAATGATGATATATCATTCAGGTGGCGGAGGAGATATGGGTGTGTGAAAATGGCACGGTGACGAAATGGCAAGGCGGTATTCTGGATTACAAGGAGCACTTGAAGAACAAGGTCTTGAAGGATAACCAGAAGAGGCAAAAGGATCTGACGAGTCGAAGCAAATAATTCTGAGACACCCTTAACGAATGCCATCCAAACTTTTCCTTTTCCCGTCGCGCATTCGCCTTTATAGGATACGCCAAGATTTCGATCTCACACGATCACCGCGTATTTGCGCTGCTGTGTAGCGCAACGGTGATACGAATTCATCTAGCTAATTTATTTAAACGAATCGAGGATAGAAAGAACATTTGCGACTGTTTGGATACACCAGTTGCGGCACAAGTTATAGTCTTCTATCGAATGGCCGACTAACCAATTGCCTGCTGCCTGTGCACGATTTTTTCGTATACTTCGTCTTGAGGAAATTACGGATAAATTGGAATCAACCGAAACGTTAATAAAATATGCCGATACGGAGTAAGGAAATCGGGTGAGAACTTTTTTCCCTATGCAACTGTATTTTATTGTCTGTTTGCTGTGCAGTACAAGTTTATCAAAAATACTGTATGTATATTTCTATGAAAATACGGCACTCTTTTAACGCCGATATATCAGGAAGACATTTTGATACGTGATAGGTATGCATTGCTTGAGAAGGCAATATACGAGATTGAGACTAAGGCCTGCATGATTCGTTAACTTTAATTCGTAAAACGACGTCTCGACAACTCAAAAGGGAATTCGATTATATCTGCAAGATTCCCCACTTTGAGATTTACTCTTTTTCTTTTACTGAAACTGTGTTGCAAAAAGAACAATTTTATACTCTTCATAAAGTTTGCTTATTAAAAACAGTTAGCAAAGTCAATTTAGAATATAAAGCTTAATTATGAGGCATAGAATGTTTTCTATACCTCTAAGGAGACAAGTAGTTTTGTTGAGTTCATTGTAATAATGCAACATTGCATAAATACTGAAACGTAGAAACAAAACGTAGTTTGATACGATACCTTTGATTACCGAGTCACTCTAACCATTAACTTAACATGGACAATGGATTTAAATCATTGTCAATCCTTTACACAATGAATATATATAACTGATAACTGTATAAATTCATCGAAGTTACATACTAATTTATGTATAATTTGGAAGAAAGGAAACTAAACCGGCGTGGATGCTGGGATAGAACACGCTGCTTCTTGAGCTAAAGCCGCGTTCCTCAGAACTAACAAATGCGAATCCATGTCATTCAGTGCTCTGTCTATGAAAGCGAATTTTCTTGCTTGGCTTTTGGGAACCCCATGCCTTGTCACTAGTGCTAAATGAGTTACCGCTAACACCAAAGCTGCCACCCTTGCTTCTAAGAGACGAGCGTCCAGTGGTGGGTACAAGCTGCGAACCACGTCATCTACTCTGGGGGGAATACGTCGAGCAACCTGAAGAATATTGTTTTATCATTTGAAATCTAGTTTCTAGATGAATACAGTAATAGGTAAGTTACTAACATCAACAATTTCTAATGGTATTGAATTACTGTTAACCGTCCCTGCTATAGCAGTAAGACTTGCTGCTAATGAGTGACAGGATCGGAGTACTGCTATACACGGTGGAGCCAAACCAGTTGCATCATCTACCCATCTGTTATTTAGAAACCACCAAATGTTTAAGTAAACACTGTGAACTTATTTCTATATTAATGCAGTAACATTCTAATTAGTTTAAAAAATTCAGGTTATTTTTCATTTAACAAATATCTCATGCTTCTTCATTAATCACAAGTTAGGCTTAACCTTTCTGCACCAGCGAGCCATTCTTCACCTTCCCAAACATCAAGACCTAATCCAGGACCTATTTCATCTTTTACCAAAAGATCGGAACTGGAATCAGGAGAATCTGTTTTCTGAAATATGAAAGAATAGTATTGGTGAACATATATGAAATAATGAACTAATGTATCAATCGTCAAGAGATAAGTCTCATGATTAATTTACAAGTTGAAGTTTTACATAGTAACAGCGTTGTTTGCGACAGATTACTAAAAGCACTAAAAGTGCACCAAGGAATACTGCAGCAAGAGCACCAAGAGCAATCGCAACAATGGTTTCCATCCCAGGTGGAGGTACAGCCGATTGTCCCGTGACAATTGCGCTTACAGCACCCATTGCAGGAACCGATCGTTCGCTCATCTTCACTTCTTACATGAAACTATTGGTCAAGGGTTGGATTAAAGCTCGCTACACAGTTAATGTTAGTAAAACTTGCTTGTCCACAGAGTAAACAAATGCAGTTTCACATATATCACTTATTTACTCCCCTTCTTATAAGTATTTTCCTTAGTTATTCTGAATTATCGACAAGACATGATATAGGTCCACCTAAAAATTGATATCAGTGTATGAACTTGTCATTATTGGCACCAAAGATATTTATCATTAGACCAACTTCAAGTTAGTTTTAAAACCAGTTTCCATTGATAGCAATCACTGTCCTTATAAACTGTCAACTATATAATGTAACTTGTTTCAACAACTTTCGAGAAGATAACTAAATCGGTAGTTTTATATTGTATTACACATGCGTGTTAAATTTAAAGTGCAGTTAACGCGTCGTTTTGACAGATTAACTCTGGGACGCGTATCACTTTTTGTGACCTGATGTCACCTGTTGCTGCCCGCAACGTCGCCATTTTCGCCTGTTTTCGCCCACTTGCCATTACGACTTTAGATATATCTGTTCACACATACATACGTATGTATATATACACGGTCAAAGCCATCGAATGCATTCAAAAGAGGGAATGTATGGGTGGTGGGGGAAACCACGGAGGTACTTTGAGATGAGTCGAACTGGGTGGGGGCAGAGTGACACGTACGAACAGTGGTGTAGGTAAATTTGCATACTAGAACTGCGGATTGTGAAAATAAAAGAGCATTAAGTATTAAATATTCTACGGGAATTTGGGAAATCGCGTAAAACACATTGCTCGCAACACATTGTTGGAGGAAAATTGACGAAAGATTGACCTCTCGGGTGCTCCCTTTCTCGTCACCTTATCGGAATATCCGTATTTTTTGTGATCATTCAATGGGAATACCAAGGTATTATTCAGGTACCCGAAATTAGGAGACGACCTGGAAAAGGGACAGCACGATAGTTACATATTTTCGATTTGGATAAAATTTCAATCCCCCAACCGCCGACATTTTCTAGCGAAGAAATTTCATTGGAATAACAAAAACCGACAACACCGAAGAATTTCTTATACTTCTCAGTCTTCTTCGGCGTCTCCGCCGAAGAAGACCAAGAAGAGATTCTTGTGCTCTCCACGAAGAAAGGTACCGGAGGGGAGGACGACTTTAATTGGTTCCGCAATAGCGGGTGGGGTCGGTTTTTGTTATTCCAATGAAATTTCTTCGATAGAAAATGTCGGCGGTTGGGGGTTTGGAATTTTATCCAAATCGGAAATACGTAACTATCGTGCTGTCCCTTTTTCAGGTCGGCGTCTAATCTCGGGTACCTGGATAATACCTTGGTATTCCAATTGAATGATCACAAAAAATACGGATATTCCGATAAGGTGACGAGAAAGGGGCACCTGAGAGGTCAATCTTTCGTCAATTTTCCTCCAACAATGTGTTGCGCCGCCACTGAGGGGTAACAGGTGGCAAGTGCGTTAGCCGTCCGCATCCTCCACCGGGGGCAGCACAGGATGCGATGCGCGACCTGCCCGCGAACCATCTCCCTACTCATATCTGTCATGAAATGGTGAAACATGAAGGCGGGTCCTCAATGCCGCAATCCGTCGCTACACCGCCTTTGTACACTAAAGCGGGGGAAATTCAAACTCACTGAAAAGAAAACCAGGAAATATAAAAGAATACGTGATATGAGCTTATAAACGACACGGTTTATAATTTGCATGTTGTGTTTCTTATTACTGTTTCTCAAGATGAATAGTTTTCCTGAAGTTTTACTTTATCAATAACCAGTTCGCAATTTAGCTGAGCTCGCAACGCTTGAAAACGAATGGCTGTGTGCACATATATACATGCATATACCAGCCGCGACCAACTGAACTTAGCTGGAACGTCAACAGCTTGATTGTCCTCGCGGTCATGTGTGTCGTGAGTTCGTGACAATAGGTGACGATCGGTGATCATCTGTTTCATATACTGTCATATACGTTGCGCACAATTGTAGCGATCGCTGTCAAAGACGATACAAGTCGGTCCAATCGTAGGTCTGTCGATTTTGGGGAATTTTAGGGGAGTTCGTCTCGTTGAAGCACAATCTCTACGGCAGGGACCACGAATTGGTTGTTCACGGGATATCGTCTCCCGATCCCTCGGCTTTTCTCTCACGCTTGACCACCAACTGCTGCAGCATCGGTATCCTTTCTCTTGTCAACGCCAAGGTGCCTCGTGACACCACTCTCCCTCTACGACTGGTAATATCTGCAGCCCAACCTAATAATCATTTCGGGTGTCATTTAACATTTGACATTTTCCATTTACCCATCCTTGGTGTTCTTTATCTTTAACTTTTGCACTTGGTTTCTGCGGAATAATGATTATCGACTGTCGGACGTTGACGTAAGGTCCATCGAGAGCAACGGCCTGCACGTTAAAAGTGTACTCGTAGGGTATAGGATGACGACATGCATACATCGGTTAATTTCCTTTTCCAGACTCTGTTTTCGTCCATTAACTAGTTTTTCAATATTTCAGATTCTTTGAAGTTCACGGAAATTCTGGTTTATTCCACATTGGTGTACTGATTAATTGTCAATTGGAAAGAGAATTTTTTATCAATGGTAAAGATGAGTAGAAAATCGAACAGCGCAATCTTGCGACTGAAGCAGGATTATCTGCGTCTGAAGAAAGATCCTGTGCCATATGTTCTAGCAGAGCCAGTTCCGTCAAATATTTTAGAATGGTAATGTATTAGATTTTGAAATTACAGAATCACATGGATAGTTTTACCATATATTTATTTATTCGCAGGCACTATGTCGTCAAAGGACCTGAAAGTACACCGTACGAAGGTGGCTTTTATCATGGAAAACTAATATTCCCTGAGGAATTTCCATTTCAACCACCGAGCATATATATGACCACACCAAATGGTCGTTTCAAAGTAAACACCAGGCTCTGCCTTTCGATATCGGATTTTCATCCAGACACTTGGAATCCTGCCTGGACCGTGTCCACTATACTTACAGGGCTTCTTAGTTTCATGGTACGTAACTCACTATTGGTCTCTGACACGATCGATATCATTTAAGCAGGACATGACGAAATATTAATTTCAACAAATCATGTACTTAGATCGAAAAGATTCCAACTTTTGGCAGCATCAACACCTCAGACTACGAGAAGAAAGTATTGGCCTTTCGAAGCTTGGAATATAACTTAAAAGATAAGATGTTCCGTGAATTGTTTCCTGAGACAGTCACCGTAAGTACACTAAGACGTTCCTTCGCGATCGCAAACCATTCCTATCCCTGTTTCCTTAATGACTCATTCTTCTTCAGGCTATCCAGACAGAATTGGAGCATCGAAAAGAACTGGAGAAGCAAGCGAGGCATCAGTCAACCGCTTTAGAGGTCTCGTCTCTGATACGCGATCGACTACAAAGGGAACAGAGCCCACTGCACAATGCCGTCACGAATCTAGTTGTAATCATAGGTTTCGCAGCGTTCGCATACACCGTCAAATACGTTCTGAAGAATATCGCTACCGAGTAAAGCGAAACGTCGAGTCGTCTCGAACTCTCGGTAGAAGGTATGAAAACGATGAGCGTACGACGCGTTCCCCCAAACGATTGAGTCGATGGAAATTACCTTCCGTCACCCCATCCGTCCGAACGTCATTTGGCCGATGTAGATCGAGCGCCGATTCCGAATTCTACACCTTCCATAAGACCTTGGATCGTACACGGGTTTCATTCTTCGCTCTCTTCATCCTGAAGAAATAGCGAATCCACGATTTTCGTTAATTGCGGGTAAATCAAGAAATCCTCGGGATTGTATCTTCCTACTACCGCGTATTTGCGTTACTTTCGAAAAATCTGTCCGGATGGTTCAACGAGCACCTGTACAGGTCCATCGCTAAGAATTGCTCATTTCTAGAGGCAGGTCTTCGCGAATCAAGGCTCACGTGGGTGCAGATGGATATTCAATGTATTTCTATTTAATCCATGCCAGTACGTTGATCGCGTCACTCATCGCTCATAAACGGGGGGAAGAGCGTTCGTTTACGCGCACGTGAGCGCAACGGAGATGAACGTACGGAACGTAATCGAGTGCGCGTTTTAGCTTATCATACGATGTAAATACGGTGTATGTTAGTGCTGTAAAACCTGCGAAATAGATTTCCTCTCACGAGAGACACGGCGAGACGGCCCGACGTTATTCCGCGCCGCGGTGCTGAACGACTTCGTTCTTCGGCGGATCCGTTTCCTTCTATCGAAAGAATCCACGACAATTCCGTAAATTTGTGTACGGCTTAAGCGCACAGCGATGCGTCGAAGCAGTTTCATCCTCTGTCTTAAATTTAAAACGCCTGGGGCGTTGTGAGTTGACACAACGAAAATAAGAATCCCAGGAAACAAATGAGATAAAACCTCCGCTTCAATCAGGTTATTTTATGCAAATTTTATACATTACATATTTCGTTACGTTATAATATAATATATAAAATGTAGGTGATGTTATAAGGTTAATAGTTTTGTTGGAAAACAAAACAAAGAAAGAAGAAACAAAAACATTAGGTGTTTAGTTTTTAAAAACATTATATCCTGGAAACTCACGCCGTATCGCTGTGAACGCTTGGAAAATGGATATCTAGGACGCCGGAGAACGCGACATCGGGCCTTTTCCATCGTTCCAGAAGGCATTTTCTGAATGCTACCTTGTTCGCGTGCGCTCAACGAGAAGCGAATTCGTCAGGGGAACCGACTCTTGTAGGAATCTCCTTTTATCGGGCTTATCCAAAGTGCGTACGCGCTCGTTACGCGTGTAGCGCGTCCCTGCCGGAACTCCGCGGCCCGGCCGCGCCGATGTAATCCGAGCAAACGTCCCGCAAAAGAAGCAAACACCAATTTATTTGGCCGAGGAATAACAGGAAGCTCGTTCGAGTCGACTAGGGGCTTAAACGACACCCCCGGCTGGGCCGATAAATCAAATCCCAGGGCCCGGTCCCGACGTCGCTCCCTTAAAGCTATCTTCACCTTGGAATCCCAGTCTCCGATGAGATCTCATATCCAGCCTGCTTCCTTGCCCTGAGTACGTATCTGTTAGTGACTCCGAAATCTCCTTCCGACTTAAGAAATGTTAATTTTAAATTAATTACGAACAACTAGAAACAGGAGGCACACGTTTGGAATAATAAACGAAGAACGGGAACATACGAAAAGTTCAATTGCGGACTCCTGTGTGAATTCCCTGAAAAATCCCGCTGGGCACTTAGGGGTGAGTTACATGAATTTATACATTCCTTTAGGTTTCAACTATTTTGCGTTAGTATAGTTGATTTAATTCTAGCACTCGCATGCCTGAGTTTTATATATTTATTATATTTTAACAGTTTTAACCGCGCGGTGACGCGTAATAACGCGCTCATTAAAAAAAAAAACCCAAACTCATTTCTCAATTCTAATTTAATGTTAACGTTTAAACATTTCTTTTGTGTCGCCTCGATTTACATACAAGTCACATGGAAGCATTTTTTCAAGGATGAAACCGAAATATTACTTGTACCGTTTAACAAAATGTTGATAATATTTATTTTAACAGTTTTAACCGCGCGATAACGCGTGATAATGCACTCATTATAAGAGAAACCCAAACTCATTTCTCAATTCTAAGTTAACGTTAACGTTTAAACATTTCTTTTGTATCGCCTCGATTTACATACAAGTCATATGGAAGCATTTTTCCAAGGATGAAACCGAAATATTACTTGTACCGTTAAAAAAAATGTTGGTAATATTTATTTTAACAATTTTAACCGCGTGGCACCGCGTGATAACGCGCTCATTATAAAAAAAACCCAAACTCATTTCTCAATTCTAATTTAATGTTAATGTTTAAAGATTTTTTTATGTCGCCTCGATTTACATACGAGTCACATGGAAGCATTTTTCCAAGGATGAAACCGAAATATTACGTGTACCGTTAAACAAAATGTTGATAATATTTATTTTAACAGTTTTAATTGCGCGGTGACGCGTGATAACGCGCTCATTAAAAAAAAAACCCAAACTCGTTTAAAGATTTTTTTATGTCGCCTCGATTTACATACGAGTCACATGGAAGCATTTTTCCAAGGATAAAATCGAAATATTACTTGTACCGTTAAACAACATGTTGGTAATATTTATTTTAACAGTTTTAACTACGCGGCAACGTGTGATAACGCGCTCATTATAAGAGAAACCCAAACTCATTGTCACTTCGAAAATATAACAATGATTTTAATGCAGTGCTCGAAAATGTACCATACCGCATAAAAACTGGGATACAATCAGTCATCCTGATTACATTCACGCGCAGAAGGTACAACTAAAACGAACAAATTGAATAGTTGTTTCTCTGGTCGGTGATCAGCGTGAAATTTCTTAACTGCCATTATGTGTGGAATTCCTTAAATGTGATTGGTTAAACCTGAATTAGTACAATTCACGTTCCACCGGCAAAAATGAAGCTAATTAAAATCCATTGTTTGGTAACCATCTGTAGTCGAAGGAATAACTCTAATCACTCGTTACGTAATCCTTGATTAAGGCTTTTAACTCGAATCTTGGGACGATCAGCTCCAAGTGTTAGGTTGAGAAATAAGTTCCCACCGTTTTGATTACGTTACACGTTACGTCAAAAACGGTGGGAAGTTATTTCTCACCCTAATATACCAGACAGTTTCTTGTGGGACTCTTCAACTTTTGGAGCTTGCCAGGTGTCTCCGAAGAACCGGAAGTCGACGAAGATCGATCCCGGGGAGCGTCGATTGGACGTCGATCAGCGGCAAAGATTCGTAGAAGTAGGGTCGGGTCGAATATCGAAATGTGAAGGGAGCGAGCTCATTATGAAGCTTAACGAGCCAACGGAATGTCTGAACGTCTGCATGCCGTTCCATGGGGACCATGGGGACCATAGGGACCATCGGAATCATCGAGACCATGGGGACCACGGGGACTATTGGGGCTATGGGGCCCATCGGGACTGATCCGGATGTACGCCACGGTGTCATTGGGCGTCACCCGTGGCCCACTCATGGGTCGTTTCCAGTTTTAATGAGAACGAAGAAAATCCAGAAAGGGAGATGACGTCTTCCACGACACGATGAGCGTCTGGATGTATTTCGCCGGAAACCGAGCTGCGTTACAAAGGGTGCACGACGTCAAATCTGTTTTCTGCCGCGTATATACATTTTTTTTTATTGAAAATCTATCCACGTGTATCAAGCGGTGCTCGTTAACCTGTATTAATTTGGTTTTCTGTCGAGTATATTTTTTTTTATCGAAAATCAATCCCCGTGTACCAAGCGGTGCGCGTTAATCAGTATTAATTTTATTTTCCGCCGATATATCTCATTTGAAAACTCCATTGATCCAAGGAAATATTTAATTGGAAAGTATCGAAGAAATATCTTGTTAATTCAAAGGATAATTATTTGACTCCCATTCGTAGGGTTTAAATGACAACCCGTTTACCGTTAAAAGTGATACATGTGTACGAACCAAACCGTCCTATCCAATCTACAGACTCGATTTACAAGTATCTAAAAAATTGCCCTCAGGAGTATATTTCACGAAAATTGCTTGAAAAAAGTTGAGGAATCGATCGACTCGTCGTCTTGGAACGCGAATTTCCGGGCGAGGGGTTCCCAGAGAAAGAAAACGGCGGGCCGGAGCAAAAGGATGTATAAGGTCGCAGCGAAGAATCCCCGGGCCGTTCGGCTGGGCAAAGATCGGGCCGAAAGAAACGGGGAAGCCCCGTATTCTATTTCGATCTCGCCCCTAAGTGAAACCTCATGCGCAAACGGCTCAGGAGACCGGCTCTCGAAGTCACCTACGAGCTTTCCCGCCGCGTTGCCGGGAAAGCTGCCCGAGAGTTTGCCCGCAAAGAGCGCAAAGTCGTTGCCTGGTGGCCCACCGAACGACCCACGTCTTTATTTCCACTTTGTTGCCGGCGAGACGAATTTATCCCATCCTCTCTAACCGGCGGCTCTTTGTACTCGGCCCTGGCCAATTTCTATGGATACTCCGAGTTATGAGTTCCGGATCAGTCTTTATTTTCTTGTAGCGGGTTAAGCTGAGAAAAAAGATAACGTCAAACTACTACCAGCTGTGAAGTAGGCGCATGTCCCTTCATGGGATATGTGCCCATAATTATGAAAGTGGTCTAAGTCAAAATTAAAAAAAAAAATGAGTTTATCAGTTATTTCACGCCATATTATTTCAAACAAAATTAATTCTATGTAATTTCTAAACAAAAAATATATGACTTAGACCACTTTCATAATTATGGGCACATATGATATATGACTATAGAGAGAAAGAATAACTTTAAAAAGTCATACTCGAGGGGCTGTTCACGTGGAAATCAATGAAAACGATTTTTTTCTTTGAGGGTCGATTTTCGTTGATTTCATGTGATAAACAACTATGCGATTTGATAACAAGGGACGTTCGGCCTTAAAATTCGGACAGTGCCCTAGTAGCATAGAATAATTTCTAAATATTTCTTCGTAATCTTTGCTAAATATCTCAAGCGACAGATTTCTTAAGATTTCTTGTAGATTTCATTCGAAGATATATGCAATATTTGTTGAAAATCTCAATGACGTATTTAGTTTCAATAATTTATAAACATATATATAAATTATATGTTTTAATTTATGAACACGTAATAAAAATGCATTTTTTACTTCACGACGACGCGTTTGGCTCAGAATCACGACATGAATCCTAAATATAATAGAGATACCATATCGATAAATTGCAATTAACGAGCGGTTGGTAATACACTTGTCATAATTACCTTTAAAGTCTGAATGACGAATTAATGCGTTCTCCATTTTCGGGCGAAATAAAAACCCAGATAACGCTCCTGGATCCTATAAACATTCAACGAATATTCACGTCGAATATTTCGTTACTTCCAAAATATTATGCAAACATTTAAGATATACAGTGAATATTCACGGAACGCAGAATTTTTCAGAATATTCAAAGCATGTTTTGGCTTATTAATGTATATATAGAATATTCATGGAACGCAGAATTTTTCAGAATATTCAAAGCATGTTCTGGCTTATTAATGTACATACAGAATATTCATTAAATATTCCAAATATCCAGAGTATATTTAAAGATTTAATAAATATTCGTAGGTACAGTGGTATTATCTGGGAAGAGGAAAGGCAGTAAGATGGTCGTGACGTTAGAACCGTCGAGTATCGTTACGGTGGACGTCGATGCCGTCGTTCTAACTGAATCCCAGTTTTACTCGGTTGGGATAATATTGATATTGGCTCGATATACGTTCGGCCAAAGGTATTCCACGTGCCGCGGAATGCCGAGCCACGCGACGCGTTATTTTACAGCAGTAACTGATATCCTCTGTCAGCTTTGTATGCACGAAAAATCCATTAAACATGCTTTTATATTTTACGAATATTTTTAAGGTGAAGTGAAATCCCCTTCAAATCAGTCGATTCGAGTACAACACTTTTTTTTAAGGGTAAAAGACAAAATTATATTACTTATTAATTGTTTTCAACGCAACTGCCGGTGCAATACCTTTGGTACGCAGCGTTCGTTGTCGAACACGGTCTCTCTTCGTAGATAAAAAAAATTTATCAAACATGCTTTCATATTTTACGAATATTTTTAAAACAGAGATGAGGAGCTCAGATCGGCCTATAAGTATATAACCTGATTTGAATAGCACGTTTCGATGTAATTATATTACTTTCTAATTGTTTTCAACACAACTGTCGGTGCAATACCTTTAGTACGCAGCGTTCATTGCCGAACGCGGTCTCTCTTCGTAGATAAAAAAAGTTTTTAATAAAAAAAAAACCCCCCCGACTTCAAGAAAGAAACGCTAAAAAGGGAAGAAATTCTTTTATGAAAAGCTAATACAAAATTGTTTTATTATCTACAAACTACGTATCTACTACCTACTATAGATTGCTTGGGCAGTTTGAAATCGGAGGAAAAAACGTAACTAAGTGTAACAGTGTCTTCAACTTTGTATCGTTACATCTCGTTTCTTCTTTCCGCCGGCTTCAAACCGCCCAAGTAATAAGTACTTCAAAATCTATAGTAGGTAGTAAATACGTAGTTTGTACATAATAACACAAGTTCATATTGCTTTTAATATAATCATTTTCAAAGTTTGTTAGTGTTTCTCATT